CTAACCACACAAAACACTTTTTATAATAATAAGAAAATCTCTTATGAAATTAAGTATATGAAAGCACAAAGTTAGAGCACCAATGATGAAACTCAACAAAGAAATACAATACTAAAGTTCTAAAATATTATTAAATTGAGTTTAATAATAACCAAGACTATCAATGCACTTAACAATAAGTAAGAGTAAAAACTACATCAACAACTAGATGTATAAGAAGGGTTAGAAGAGAGCAAACTCAAACTTTGACAACAACCATAAGATCTATTCCTTACAACAAGAAAGACTTCAAAGTACTTCAAAATTCATAAGTAAAGGTGAGTGGGTCCATAACCTATTGAAGAATAAGCACTTTGAAGACACAACACTTAGCATCAGCAAGGTTGCATACAAAGAGAATATGGAATAAGATGTGTCTCACTTCCAATACCCATTACTTATAAGTAGTGGTTGCTGCTCTAAAAGACAACTTCCACTCTTTGAATTTTACACACGTGGCCCTAGGATCGTTTTGGCATCTCACGAGCTTCGAGGATATCCCATGACACATACTAATGACTCCTACTTAGTCTTTGGATATTTCCTTGTTAATACTTTATCCTTTTGACTTTGACTCTTGATCCATGACTTCGTCCTATATCCATTGGATGCCCTTACTATATACCAAGAGTCAAACCTTTGACCACTAGCAACTTATCTAAGTTAATATCGTCTATAAGGTAATTTATTCTACTTTTACTTTAACATCTTCTACCATTCACTATGTTTTTTTTTGATCCTTCAAAAGATTTTTTCTATGACTTGATGAAGATTCTTTTCCTTGCACTTCAATATTTCTTTTAACCTTCTTTTTTTTTAAAGCTTATTTCTTGATAATTAAAAGTTGATACTCCTTATTATCATCATTTTTATTATCTTAATTATCTTGAATGCTAATTCTTTATGTTCTAAAAAATCTATATCATATTACTTAATGATCTTTTTTATTTTATTAAATACATTAGCCTATATGCCTTAATATCTTTACAATATCCAATAAAAAAATATTTTTTTATCTTTTGCATCAAATTTGAACCTCATATAATTTTATATTATTCCATAAGCAATTCATCCAAAAATCCTCATGTATAAAGTATTAGGTTTTTTTCCTACTTCAAGCTTCTTATGGAGTCATTGATGTGAGTGCACTTATAAGACATGTAATCCTTGTAAATATTACATTTAATATAGCTTATATCTAATATTCATATCTAAAAATTTTGATATAAATAATATTTTTTATTATTTCTATAATAATATAATTTGGTCTTTCAACAACTTTATTTTATTGTGGAATATAAGGAATAGAAGTTTGTCTTATAATACCTCAATTATTCATGAACTCATCAAAATACTTTGACATATATTCACATCCATTATCCACGTATAATATTAAAATCTAGCATTCATATTATGTTTATTTAAGAGTCTTAAATTTTTTATATCATAAAAAATATTTGTTCTTGATTTTAAAGATATATATTTACATCTTTCTTAAAAAACCATCAATAAATGTGATAAATTACCTTGTTCCTTTTATTAATAGTATCTTTATTGATTCACAAATATTAAAATATACAATCTCTAATAATTTATTAGCATGTATTGTAACTCTATTTGAAAATGAAGTCTTTGATTATTTGCCTTGTATACATTCTTCACAAGCAAGTCTTATGGCATTATAGCTAAATTGACTAAGATCCAAGTGACTTTCTATAAATTAGAATTTTTTTATGTTTTTGGCTTTCAAATAAAAAAGTAATTAATACCAAATATCAAACTTAGCTTGATATTATGAAAATTTAGCAAATGCCACCACTTCAATTCTATTACTCTTCTTACAATTAATGAAGTAAAATTTGCCATCTTTAAAGCCTTTGGTAATATCTTATCCATCTAATGTCTTTATAAAATACCCATTTATATCAAATTGAACTTTATAACATGTGATACAAGTTTATTCATCAAAAAATGGTATTTTATTACTTGGATATATATAAGACTTCCTTTAATTTGGTCTTCTTAATTTGATTCTTTCCACCAATTTCAATAGCTTGCTCTATGCCATTACTTTTTAATCAAATGTTTGTTGCTAGAATTACTTTGTAAGTATCAAATAAAGACTTATATAGTGCCATGTACTTAGTAGCACCCAAATCTATAATCCACTTCGACATGACATCCATTGAAGCTCCTTCACTTGTCATGAAAGTATAATCATCTCCATAAAAGTTATCACAAGCATTGTTTGTTTGTTTGTTTGTTTGTTTGTTTGTTTTTTATTTTATTTTATTTTATTTAGCTTTGTAATAATTTCTTATAAAGTCACATTTTTTTTTTATAAATATAGTGATTTTTTACATTAATTCTTCTATAAACACATTGATTAGAATAAATATCTTTATTTTGTCTTAAAAATAGAGCCAAATCTTTCTTCTGAAGCTAATATTTTTTTCTTATTTATCACTTTATAGGCAAGTCTTGACATGACATTATCTAATGTGAGCTCTTTGATTTTGATAGACTCCAATTTCATAATGAGGTAGTTGTACGAGTCTATTAAGCTTGAGAGAAATTGCATCACAATGTCATATTTGTTAACAAGCTTGTCAATAACTGCTAGTTGATTTGCAAGAACTTTTATCTTATTAATTTGAGTTATAAAGCCATTTCTTTCTTCTATCTTTATTGCTAAGAACTTCTATCTTTTCCATAGAATATTAGCAAGGTTTCTACTTTTATAAATATTTCAAAGAGTCTTCTATGCTTATGTTGATTAATTGCAAGAAATTCTATGTGAAAAGTTAGTATCAACAAGATTGGTTGTAATTAATGAAAGTTTTTTTCTTTTTTTCTTTTTTTCAACCATAGAAGTTATCTTCTCAAAATTTCTCAATCACTTTCAAGCCATCACTTTTATTTGAATTTATTCCTAAATTTAAAAAAGTATATAAAAAAATCAAGAAAAAAAAAAAAAAGAAGATAAAGTTTTGAAAATCAACAATGTTATTAAGGCTGCCTTAATAACCCAAATGCCATCTTTATAAACAAACTAATGATTTCATTCTTAAATTACTCTTAACTTCACTCATAAGACTTTTCATAAGTCTTGTATATTATATAAATATCTTTTATAAGTTTTTTTATCACAAAAAAATACAATGTTAATGCACCAATGATGTAACTTAAGAAATAATTACAACATTAGTATTCTAAAATATCATTCTAAGGTAACAAACAAATTCCAGGTCTATATGTGTACTTAATAATAAGTAAGAGCAAAACTACATTAATAATTAGATGTAAAATATAGAATTAAGTGATTTATAATACCAACATTAGCAACAACTATAAGATCTACTCTTTACAATGAGAAAGACTCCAAATAAATTCAAAATTCATAAAAAAAGATGAGCAAGCCTACAACCTATTAAAAAAAAAAAAAAAAACTAAGTCACAATATATAATATTAGTAAAGCTGCATTTAAAGAGAGTATGGAGTAAAATAACTTTTAATTCCAATAGTAGTTACTTATATAAGTGGTGGTTGTTTCTTTAATAGATAACTTCTATCCTTTAATAAATACATCTATCCAAGATTGTACTGAAACTATCTATTGATATCTTATCTACTATGAAGATATACCTTTAGCATATTTTATTTTACTCCTAAGATCATTTGTCCATTCATCTACTTCAAAGATATCTTATGACATGTACTTTATATTCTTAACTAATCTTTGGATATTTCCTAGTTGATCTTTTATCTTCTTAACCTTGTTTCTTAGCCTTTCTACATACCAATCCTTTGATCATTGGTAACTTATCTTAGATAATGACTTGTACAAGGTAACTTATTCTACTTTCACTTTTATTTATTTATTTTAATAATTTAATAATTTTATTTTATTTTATTTTATTTTTTGATTTTTTGATTTTTTTTAAATCAATCTTATCCATTTTCAAATTTTTTTTCTTAAATTTTTCTGTATTACAATCAATTCTTGATTCTTTAGGCTAGTTGCATGACATATTTTTGAAAAAAAAATCAATAATATTAAACTCATTTTGATAACTTATTTATAATCTCTTAAAATCCAAGTTTTTTAATAATTCAACAAAATTCAGTTCATCCTTAATTTGTATAAATGTCGTCATTAATATTATTATACTTCGCTTTCTTTTCCTTTACATATAAAAACAATGTTGTTTGCTGCATTAAAACGACCTGATTTGAATTATAACAATATTTTGAAGTAAGAAATGGAATGGATAAAAACTTAAGGAATGGGAGTGCCATATTCGTTTTCAAAGTTGGGAAAAGTATGGAGTATTGATCTATGATGGAGTAAGGTCAGAAATGTGTGCACACTCACTGATTTGGCAGGGGGGGGGGGTATATGAAATTTTCGAAGTCCACAAAGCTCACAACGATGCAGAGGGAAGAAAGTGTGGCATTCCTTCAACACAGTTTGTTGCTCAAGAAAGGAAGGAAGGCATGGTGAGAAGGAAACTGGATGAAGAAGAATAAGGAATGGAGGAGGGAAAGGAAGTAAGGAGAAGTCCTTTCTTCTTCTTCTTCTTCTTCATGGTGGGTGGTGTTCTATGCAGAGCCACCATTGACCACAAATTGAGATTACTCCAGTTATTTTTCTACACATGATGATTCTGTAGTATTATTATCATTGTCATTATAATTATTATTCTCTGGCAATTAATTCACATGTATTCATTTGCAAGCTCAGTTGTAACCCGCAGTTGTGTTGTAAGCAGCAGAACGATGCTGCTCTGCAATTGTGTTCGATGAATGTATGAATGAATGGTCATTGGAACAAATAACCTTTGTTGCAGCATGAGGAATGAAGCGAGGAACTGGATGAATTATGAATGATATGGGATTTGGATGAATGATTGAATGAATGACATGATTTTAGGGTTTTAGAGTTTCTAACTCTTGTTCGGTGCATGGTTTTATTGAGATTGTTTTTGGTCATTCTATTGCTTTTGGGGGCGAATCGATCGTGCACGATGCAGCGCGTCTCTGGTCTTCTACGGGGACTTGGAGCTGCGTCGTCTTCAAAACTGTCTGGGCACGCTGTAGACGATGTACTGAAGGGCGTTGTGAAAGGATTCGCGGTGTCCGATGCAGGACGACCATTTTCCACCAGCAGCACTGCTGGCGCCACAAATGAGAAAATCATTGCCGCCATGGTTGTGGAGCGACTTCCCGTAGTTCTACCTAAGTCGGCTCCTCCGGTGGATACTTTTGAGTCCTTTTCGTAAGTCGCATCTGTAACTGATTATTTTCTACAGTGTCGGTGGTGCCTAACGTCCTCGATGGATCGTAGCTTTCTTGTACCGTTCTATCGTTACATTTACGGAGCAGTGACCGAGTCGCAGACAATCTGGTAGTGTTCGGGGTTTGTGGTGATAATTTGGCTGATTTAGGATACGTTTTAGTTTTCAACTTGCGTGAATTAGAGAATGAGTTTTATGAAATATACTCATGATATATCTTAGGGTTTTTCCTGAAAGTGGTTTTGAAATGATTTTCTGCAGCTTTGACTGGCGGCAGCAGTTCAGAAGGGAGTATCCTCAAGAGTTTCTGGACGCATCCTCTAGCAGGTTCATTGATTTTCACGAGCCTCATTTTGCCGGAATTAATAGAATTTCACATTTCATTTTAATCGAAGTTGACTTAAAGTGAATATGTCATACACTTCTCCGTGAAGGTTCTACTGGGGTGACATAATACAATTTATGGCGGGTTTTTCTCATTTGAGAGCGTGTGGAATTTGGCAATAGGGAAGCTGATGAAGGGGAAGCTGACTTTGAGCCAGCTCCAACTGTGACGGAGGCTGATAGGACTAATGACCGCAGGTGGAATTAGGCAATGCCATTCATCGCCATCCTCACTTGCTTTTGTGGGACACAGTAGCGTCAAGCATACTGCGTGGTTTCAAATACAGAGATTGAATTTCTCAACATCCTTGTTCATTACCTGCTAGATATCAGTGTCTGGTCATCAGTGTGATTTTCAATGAAGCACTAGAGAACCAATAACTGCCTTATTTTTTTTCTATCTGCACTCTTGACTATTGGCTCGGATTTGTAGGTCTTTGAATAGAGCGTTGAGTCGGAGGCTTTATTTGCTCATTCGTGGAATTCCATATGGTGGCGTAAAAGACTCATTTGTGTGGCACTTCCCTGAGAAGGTGTACGCTAATGAGGATAGTTTGAGAATGGTAAGTGGTCATGTGGATTTAATCCTCATGTTATTTGGCGGCGATGTTTTGTATTTGGTTGGTTGATCTCCAAATGTATCAGTTTCAAGAGGGTTGACTTTGAGACTTCTTGCTTACATTTGCATTAGAGCAGCACTGTTTCAATATTCAATTGCATATACTTATTCAATTTGTGTTTTTGAGGACAGTGTGCTGAAGAAGCGGTTAAACCATTCGTGTCTAACCCGACGGATTTGTATTTAGTAGGAAATGCCCCTTGTGGTCATCTTACATACAGGCTCTCTGAGCCCAGCTATAAGGTGCGTCCTGGTTCATTAATAAGATACGATGGAAATGCAATCAGAATAAGTTAAGTTTTGTTTTTTGTTTTGTTTTATTTTATTTTATTTTTATTTTTCCACGTTGTTATGTACCTTTCCGGACTAATTTCAGTTTGTCGACAACTACAGATTCTGTTGTATACAATGTAAAGCTTACTATAGACCTGACTAGTTATAATTGTTGTCATGGTCGCTCAGCGCTTCTTTTTCAAGTCACAGCTTATTGCAGGAAAGGTGCATGTGAAGGGTAAGAAGATTAAAGACTTTGCATGGGTTTCTAAAGAGGAACTACCTGAGTACCTTGATCCTAGCGATTTGGAATATATGAACAAAATGTTGATAGATTAAAGCTGGCGTTAGTTGTTTGTCACATTTAAGGGAGAATGGCGTACCTACAAGCTTTCATAGTTCCTACATTCAAACAACCGATGGATATGATTTACTCCAGACAATGTTAGGGTCACTGAGTTCTTAGATATGATTCCCATAAGAGACGTCAAATGAGGTCATTCACAGTAGATTCCTGTGTTACTGATTATCTTGTTGGATAGTTCTGTTGACGACATGTGAGCTTCTTCTCGAGGCTTTGACTACAACAGAGTTAGCGGAGCATTATCGATGATGCATTTCCAGCTGCTACCTCCATTTCAAGTGGCTGACCATTTTGTACACTGTCACTTGGGTGTTTAGGCTCACTTTGAATGATCTTACTCTTACAGTGTTAAGCGTCATGACCCGGGAATACAATTTTTGAGGGGCTTTGATATTCATCACAGTAATTAGTGCACATGTTAACGGGCTACTGCAAAACACTTCTGAATTTTTATTAATACACAAATGTGTTGGATTCTTGTTGCCTGTGTGAGAAGTGTTCTATCTTATTCACACTGCTGACACAGAAAGGGTTGTAATGTGCTAATCTAATATACACCATATTTCTGATATTAACTTACATGAACAAGTTCTTAACAGCTTTGTAGCTCGTTTATTTTAGGTTGTGGACGGACTCCCACTGACAGCTAACGTTGAGTGAACTATTCTCAAAATTCAGTCCTAATTAACCTGGTCGCCACCTGCATTACTGATATCTAAGTTTGGCCATCATCTTACTAATGATATCTAAGTTTGGCCATCATCTTACTACTGATATCTAAGTTTGGCCATCATCTTGCAACTGATATCTAAGTTTGGCCATCATCTTTCTTAACCTATTTTCATGCACATGTATTGGTGTCTTGAAACCTCCTGTTTATCAATTGGTAATACAAACTAGTGAAAAAAACTATTTTTACTATTTTTTTTACAATGTTATGAATTGGAATCAAAACAAATTAAGCAGTTTGAAAAATGACTTGTTTATTTAATTTTGTAATAAATCTTAGACTTATGTTGAAAATTATAATTCTATTGATAAAATTATTAAAGTATTATATACTTATATTTATATTTGAATATTTTTATTCTTAAATTTTATTTTAATAATATTCATATATAACATAATTTATTTAAATATATCTTAAAAGACTTAATGTCATTAAAAAAATAGTTCAAATATTGATGTCTTACACTAATGTGTCAAAGATATGAAACTCAAAAAAAGAAATCTTCAATATATTCTTATGTCATTCAAAAGAATTAGAAAGTCACTCAAAGATAAGTATTAAACTAGAATGGCTATGGCCAAAGACAAGAAGACTAGAAAGTCTTGAAATAAGACTAAAGACTAGATAGGCATTGACAAGAGTTGAGAAGGCTTCACCTTTACCTCCATATATACTCATAACTAGGAGGTACATGGTAGTATTCAAAAGTTTTTACAATAAATGAATAAAATATTAAGTTATGGATGATGTATAAAATATTTTTTAGTAAATTAAATCAAATTTTAGAACAAAGCATAAAATGGTACTAATGTATATAAAGACAATAATACAAGGGTATATTACAATTATTATAAATATAATCTTTTTATAGATTATTATTTTGAAACTAATATTTTGAATAAAAAGAGAGTAAAAGAATGTTAATAATAATTATAGAAGCTATTATTATAAAATTACTACAAAAAATAAGTACAATAAATACTATATTTAAATAAATTATTAATTTAACAACTACATATTATATAATATCTATATAAAATTAATTTAATAGTTACAAATCATTCTATTAAAAAATATTTAATACAAAAGAATGATATTTTTAAAGTTAGTGATTATATGTATTATTATTATTTTTGTATATAATAGAAAAAATCAATGTAAGATTAGATATTTAATTAATTATAATTAAATAATTTTAAAGAATAATATTATTTAAAATTAATTATTATTATTTAATAATAAAAAATTAAATAGCCAAAATTATTTGATTTTATCATGTTTATAAAATCCAAATGTCTATCTTTGTTAATGATTTTGTAAATATTTTCCATTAAGTATTTCTATAAGATATTATTCTAATCTTATTTTTTATCTTTTATTTTTTATATATAATATAATATTTTATATTATATTGCTTGAATTTGGTAATATACACTAAATTCTTTACAAAGAAAATTATATATTAATTGTTACATATAATGATAGTGCGTTTATTTGTTTATATATCAAATCAATATTATATTATTAGATCTAAATTTCTTATCTTTTATATTGATTTGTTGTTATATATTCTTTGTTAATAAACAACAAAAAAAATATTTATTTTTGTGTAGTGTTTTAAAATTAAATTCTTTAGAAAAAAATAATAAAGTAAAATTAATGATAGATTTCTTATAATTTATATTAAAAATATTTTTTGAATCAATGAATCAACATCTAAATTGAAACTATAAATATATTAAATATAGACTTTAAGAAGTAGATAAAAAAATATCTGCTTATGATAAAATATATTTGAAATGTACAATAAAGTTAAAAGACGATCTTATTGCAATGAATATATTTTTTTTCTTATGGTATTGATTAATGAAATAAGTAATAGTAAGTATGTCTTCTATTGCATAATACATCATATCAATCACTTCCATTTCAATGTGTTTGGTCCTTGAATAGTGCTTTGGATACTTTACAAATGCAAGACATCTTTGATTGTCACATTCTATTGGAATTGCTTCTATTTATATAACTCCAATGTCTTCCAAAAGTTGTTTTAGTCATATTGCCTCTATTTGCAACATGGCTTCTTATCATGTAGTCTACTTCCATTATTGACCTTGCAATTGTTGTTTTTTTATTGCAATTCTATTAAATAACTCTCATACCAACAAAGAATATAAATTTCATTGTTGGCTCTAATATTAAGATTTGACATCATCAAAACTCACTTTTATATCTAGTTATTGAAGTAATTTTGCTCTTAGTTGTTGTAAAGTATATTCATGGTCTTGAAGAATATTAGATACTTTAGAATGATGTTTTAAAATATTAATATTATATTTCTTTGCTAAGTTATATCATTGGTGCACTAACATTGTGCTTTAATGTATTTAAATTCTGTAAGGATATTCTTATAGTAATAAGTAATAAAAAAAAATAAGATACAATTATTTTAGATAAGTTGTTAATAATTTAAAAATAATAAAAGAATATAGGTAACTTACTAATATGGTAGTTAGGGTTTGATGTGGTGGCTAGGTGAAAAAGAATCTAAGATTTAATTAGATGGATGAAGATGATTATAAATGAAATTCAACTACAATAGATGTAAATTCTTCCTATTAATAAAGGATATTAGAAGAGAGAAGCATCTCATTCTATACTTTTCTTACATATAACAATTTTGATTTTTACTTACTTATGTCTTATTTATTATATTTTTTCAATAGGCTATGGGTCCACACATACTTTTTTGTGCCATTCAAGTAAATTGATGTCATTTTCTAGTAGCCGTACTTATGTGGAATAGATCTTATGGTGTTTGCTGATGCTAGGATTTGTAAGTTTTAAACTTATATTTTGGCATGAAGATGTGCTGATTTTGATCTTATAGATCTCTAATATTTTTTGGTAGATTCTTAAGTCCTAGGATTGTAATTTTAAGACCTTATAGAAAGACCTTGATAGTATCCTTTTGTGTTATTGAAGTTGTTTTATTTACATTGTACGTATTGTAAAATAATTAGTTTGAATGAATGAGAGATCTTGGTAGCAAGATTTTTTGGAGTGCACATACTTCTTAAACATACTTGTTTTCCAACTTAATTTGAGATTATTTTGAATGAAAAAGCACTCTATTGTTCATAAGATGGCATTTTGAGATTCTACTACAATCAAATTGATTTGGTGATTTTAAGCACATAAAGACTTTTTTTTTTGATATTTTTTGATAGCACTCTTCTAAGACATGGCTATTACTTAGGATAAAGATTTGAAAGTGATTAAGAAGTTTAGAAGGGATAATTTTCTACCATTGGAAGGTCAAAATTGAGCTTTTATTGGTATCTTTGGACTTTTGTGTGCTACCAAGCATATGATTCCATACGAGTATTTATTTGACATTTTGAAGAAATTTTAGCAATAAATATTTTTATAAGAAATAATAGCATTATATAAGCTATTGAAATAAGCTCTATTATAGTAGAGATTGTTGTGAGAGGACAAACTAAGAAAATTGAATGACGTCTTTTATATACTCAAAATCAAGAAAAATCTCTTTTTGGTGAATAAACTAATTTCATATGGTTGTTTAAGATGCAATTTGATAATAATGGATATTTTATAAAGATGTTAGATAGAGATGATGTTGATAAGGGCTTTTGAAATGGCAACATCTACTTTATCAAGCATAAAAAAGTAAATGGAATAGAAGTGGTTATATTTACTGAGTTTCTACATGATCAAGACAAATTTGGCATTTGGCATTGATGTCTTGATCATTTGAATGCTAAGAGCATGAAAAAACTCTAATCCATGGCAAGTATTTATTTCTTCCTTTTTATTTTATTTATTTTATTTGATATTTACGATATGTATTATGTAAAACTTATTAAAAAAAAGATTTAAGAAGGGCTTTTTATTTAAAAAGGAATAGTTAGGCCAATCATATAGATGAATAGACATGGAAGACAAAATTTCTATTCCTATTGGCCAAAATTCACACTTAATGGATTTTAAGGAGGCTGCCGAAGGATTTATTAGAAATCAGGGTTATTCTTTCAAAGACATTTGAATATTTGAGGTTAAAATTGTCAAATTTAGGATTTTGGATAATATTAAATTATAAGAATTTTTTTTATGACTTGGAGTATTTATAAAGAAGATATAGGTGGTCAAAATTAAGATATTTCTTTTTTATTTATTATTATTTTTTGGTATATAGCGTATGTATATTAAAGGCTTTTGAGGATCAAATTATATGGTTGAAAGTTTGATTCAAAGGCCCATATTTTGCATATAAAAAGAAAAAGGTTTAGAATTGATTTAGAAGAGTAATAATTATTTGAATATAGTGCTTCCAAATTGAAGTATGTTAGTAAACCGATTTCATGAGGGATTAGGTTCTAGCCATATCATAAGTATTTAGATGAATCATTAGCTAAAAGTTTCAAAAATATATATTATTATGTTATAAAGCTATATACCAAATTTTGTAGCTTTTGGATTTTGGATTTTTGAGATATGAAAAAAATAGTCTTTAGATACTTGTAAATTCGGATTTAAAACACTTTCTAGGATTTTTAAGATGCCAAATAATTTGTAATAGATTTATAGTTTTTTTTTTTTTTTTTTTTTTTTTTTTTTTTTTTTTTAAGGTAATAAAGCTTAAGGATAA